CCCCAAAACCCCAAAACCCCAAAACCCCAAAACCCCTTAATGCGATATGCAGAGATTTGGGAGGATTATTTCAAATTTTCTATGATCTTATTAAGTATATAAGCAACTATTAGGATTCTTATTATAATAACATATTAATTTAATTTCTCTCGTAAGAGCACAATCAAAGTACTTCTTTTGAAGAACGTCGAGAGCGCAGAAATGATGTAAAGTACCTCAAACAGCTTGTATGCCCACTAAGCTCAATTAGGATACGGCTACTACCAACCAAAACCAGTCCAATGGTAGTAACCTTACTCCAACCAATATGGCTAGAACAAAAGGCATGGATAAAACCACAAATCTAAAACTAACAGTTTTTGTCCATCACCATAACCAAATGATTTTGAAGCAGCCATTTATCACAAACCTAAACAACAATTCAATGGCTACAATAATCAATCAAATGACTTTGATGATGAGCAAAATAACAGGCATAAATAGTTCAAGTAAACTAAAAATAATGGTAAGAGAAATAACTCACGTAAGGGAGCTATGATCAATGGAGGTGCAGTTGGAGAAAACTGCACTCAAAAGCAGTCAGTGTATATAGTTAAGCAACAAAGAAAGACATCAATCATGTCCCAAAGTGGAGAGCAGTGCTTGCCAAACACCACTGCTATATTTTCACAACACCAGAATGAGAATAACTCACTCAAATAAAACTACTAGGGTAGTAAGAAGGAGATAGGTGTAAGACATTCGAATAATATTCTATCATCTGAGGAAGAATCTTCAAATTCTAACAATAGTCCACTGGATCTTAAAGATCATGTCCAGGATTTAAGAAATCTTGCTGAAAAATTGAAAGTGTAAAACTTGTTCCCAATCCAGTTACCCCACCAGAAATTCTTAGAATCTCATTCTATTCCATACTCTGCCACGTGCACCCAATAAAATATCCTAAATCATGGCAAATAATTCTAAGATCTCACACCTGTTAAAACAAACGGTTTAAATGAAAATGGACTTTTAGTATCACACCTTAAGTCAATTAAAAACCAGTTAAAATTGGACCAGTCCTCTGAGGATAGTACATTCCCCTCTGATAGTGCTAAGAGTGAGAACGAATCTAATAAAAATCTAAATCAATCTTAAAACCTATTATTCAAAGCCACAGAAATTATTAGTTCACCAAATGCTGATGAAATTGTTGAGACAAAAAATAATTAAGTAAGCGCCTTCAATAATCCAGAGACAACAATGGTTAATCATAATCAAGTCATAGCTTAATTATTTGGCCTGGGATCATTTGCATCAAGCAGTGCCAATGCTTTAGAGAATGACAATAATTGTCAACTAATTACTTCTATTGTAGGAAGCGTCAACAGTTCAAGCAGCAACAACCAAAGATGGAGCAATTTGTAAACCAAATATTATGAAAAGCCTAAATGCTTTATGGCTCCAAAGACTTCTGAGATCCCTCTTCCATTATGAGTAGATCAAGGAGCTTTAGATACTGTGACTAAATACAGTGAATGCAGAGATCTGCCGCTAGTACGAGAAGACATGAATCATCTTCACCCTCAAGAAAGCACCATATAGAGACGATTTTGAGGAAGAGGATATTCAGACTACTACTGAACGAACCCCCACAACTTTAGTGTAAAACTATAAATGTAATACTAGACTTTATGATGAAGACGACACGAAATAGAGGAATAAAGAAATACTTACTACTTCAATATTTTTCAGACTCTCAGGTTGTATCTAACACTGATAATGATTATCAAATTGACCTTATTTGTACCAAAAAAAGCTAAAATCATCCGATCTTAAGTTATGTCCTTATAAATAACTAATCATCACCAGATTTAAACAAATATCTGTAGGATTAACCATCCTTTAAAAACTCAAGAACTAAAAGAAATTGAGTTTCATCTCATTGTACCTAGATAAGCTACCAAAAATACCAGTTCCACCAGAAAGCAAATCACATTTGAGCAATTAGAAAATACATATGCTGAACTTAGTTTCAAACTGACAATCGCATGATCTTAAATTTATTTATTAACAGGTCATCACTAATGAAGCTAGGGCCAATTCACCCTGGTAGATTAAAGTATTGAAACGATAATGCTAAGTTTGAAACTAGGATTCAGCTTACTGTCTGGTATAGAATTATCAAAGAAGATCTAGCATACAAGAGATCTTATAAATAGAAAGAGAAATAGTTAAAAGGATAGATTAGGCTTAAGCCCACTAATACATGAGAGAAAATTGATGATTTTTTCAGTGCACCAAAAGATGCAAAAATACATGATGATGTGCGAATGCACTCTCATTCGAGAGATTATGAATCTAAAAGAGTCGTTTGAGTTTTGCACTATATATAAAGCTTTATAGCTATATCTATATGTGTAAAAATAAGCTCTAGTTGCATTTATTTCACTAAAATGTCAACCACAATCAAATTTATATACGTATGTGGGGTTTTGGGGTTTTGGGGGTGTTCAGTCC